CCGCCCTGCCGGACCCGCCCCGACCGGGGCTCGCCGCCTGCAGCCACCGCAGCACCGGACCTCGGGCCCCCGCGGGCTATGGCTGTGTCCTGGGGCTGAGCGCAGGTAGGGACCCGGCGCTCCGCGGAGCGGTCTGGGGCCAGGACCCCGGAATGGGTACGGGTTGGGGGTGGCAGGGCCTGGGCGAGGCACTTGGGGTGCGCGTCACGTTGAAGACTCAGTTTGGTGCACGCGGGCGGCGGCGCGTCCGGGGAGCCTCGCTCTGCCTCGGGAGTTGCGGCGCAAGTTGGGCAAAGTGGAAAATCGCTCCGCGGCGTGCTTCGGGGTCCGCATTTCTCTCCCCGGCTGTGGTTGGAGACTCTGCACCGCGGGGCGCCCCTTCCCGGCCGGGTGACCCCGTCCCATCCCCTCCCTCTCCACCGGGTGGTGTCTCCGGACGCTGCCCCGCTCCGAGCCCGTGTTTACTGGGGAAGTTTCCGGGGATCCCTCCAGGAACACCGGCGCCCCGCGGCGCGCGCCCCTCCGCGGTACCTCCGGTGCCCCGCACCTCCTCCCCTCCAATTTCGCGTCCGAGTCTCCGGCCCCACCCAGTTCTGTACCGCCAGCCTCTCCCTTCTCGCTCCGGGCGGCCCCCCACATCTCCCCTCCAGATGCCCCGCCCAAGCCTTGCCCCTCCGCGCCTCCCCACCCCCCTCCAGAAAACTCCTCTTATCCTCTAGAACCGCGGAGCGTGGAAGTTGGCTGCGCGCTTCCCAGGGGGACGGGTGGGAGTGGGGGTGGGGGGACATAATTAGGGAGATTCCTGCACTGGGGTGGGCGGGGAGGGGGGCTGCGCAGCGGCGCAGCCCTCGGGACCGCCCCTTCCCCTCCAGAGGCGGCGCTTCCCCCCACCCCTCCAAACCCGTCCGGGCGGGATGGCCCCCGCCCCAGCGCCTGGCCCGGCGCCAGCGGCCTGAGGAATGTGGTGGTTGGAGCTGGTGACTAATTCAAACCAGAACTCTGGGAGGAGTGGTGAGGGGCGAAGGGGAGGGGGAGAGGGCCTGTGTGTGGGAGGTGGGGTCTGGAGCCCCGCTCCGCGTCGGGGAGCTGTGGGACGCTCCACGCCGGCTGTGCGCGCCAGCCGAGTCGGAGGGCGAGGGCGCGCCGTGGAGAGGGAGAGGCAGTGCGTTCAGGGTGTGTTCGGACTGTGTTATGTAAGGATTTCCCAGGCCGGGAGAGGGTGTGCAGTGTGCTAGGGCCTGACCCGCCCCAGGGAAGACTGGGCGCCCCCTGTCGTGCCAGGACCTGGGGTGTGGGGCGCAGCCCCTTGGCGGTGCTGGCCGGGAAGGATGCGTGGGCGAGCGCAGGGCTGACTGTGGCCCTCGCGTGGGAGGGGATCGGAGAGGGCAGATGGGCCCTCACAAGCTCTGACTGGGCCTCGGCGCCAGCCAGCGGAGAGGACTCGGCGCCGCTGCCGCTGCACAAGGTGGCTGTGGGCATTGCGGGTGCTCCACCCTCTCCTAGGGTGTGGCCGGCTGTAGTGGTGAGGGTCCCCCCGGAGCGGGCAGTCCTGCCAAGGCCCTGCTTTGTGGAGTGGCTTTGTAGAAAGGTCAGGGTGGGATCCGCCCTGGCAGTGGGGTCTTTAGGGAAAGACTAGGAGTTTCCAGAGAAAGAGGGATCGACGTTGCTGTCCCCAGCACAGTGCTGGGCCCCCAGTAACTTTTTGAAAGTTCCTCTAATAGAATCCAATCTCTTACTGCAGGCTAGTCAGCCCTTTCTTACACAGCCCAGCACACATAAGAGTTGGGGTAATTTTGTGGGACACAGTGACACTGTGGGGGGCTGTAGGTGATAGGTGAAGGTGAGAAAGGGGGAGGGAGGAGCGACGGATGAGGCCTTGGAGGGCACTTTGCAAACCTCCTCAGGTTTGCAGGGTCTAAGTGAGGGCTGTAGATTCCACTTTCATCCCTCTGTCCCTGCCCTTCTGTGAGGGAACCCCCCAGGGCAGGGTGTGGCTGCCACTTCCTTTCCAAAGCCGAGTGGGGAAGCTTCTTTCTGGCCCATAGGGATGTTGGGCTGGGCCAGCACTTCATGGAGTGTGCAGAGTGGGGAGAAGCGAGCCCTAGGTTTAGGGGGTCCTCCGTGCTCAGGCTGTGGGGTGAGGGAGGGCGGGTGTGGACTTGACCATGAAAGCTGGACCTGCAGAGGCTGCAGGGACCGGGCATTGCTGTCTGAGCCCCTTTATTGAGCCCTGCTCCCTAAGAGGTTAGACGCAGGGTCACTGTTCAGAGAAAAAGGACACACAGGGAATCAGGGAGGACCCTTGGGGCGTGGTGCTGCCCTAGAGAGGCCCACAGCAGTGAATCAGGGCTCCTTGTCAGGCGACTCTGGAAGAGCTCCTCTCCAGAGCTCCTCTCCAGAGCTGGGGGCTTGCTCCAGCCGGACCTGGAGAGGCTAGGGGCCAGCTACAGGTGGAGGGCTCTGGGTGGGAAGCCAGTAGAGGCAGAGGCCTGTAGGAGGGAGTGGAGCAGGGCAGGGAGTGGGTTGGGGGGACCTGGGTGGAGGTGCTTGGGCACCAGCAGGCTGGATTCTTTTGCTCAACTTGGAACTGGCTGGCTGGCCTGGCACAGCACACCTTCCTGAGCCAGAGGAGCTGGTTTGAGGGGTTGAGGCAAAGCTGTGGGGGCGGAGGGGTGTGTGGGGCTCTGGGGTGTGGTCACTACCTTCCTTAGAACTTGGGAACCGCCTGGGGACAGACAGAGAGCAGACTGGGAGAGCTAGTCAGACTCCTGAGGGACTGATTCCCCTCACTCTGAGACGTCCCCCCTTCCCTGCCTGGAGCTGGGCTGAAGATTTGCACGTGCACACTTAGGTTTGAGGAAGGGAGGTGGCCGCTGAGAGGGATCAGAAGGGATCCCTTTCAGTTGGGTGGTGGGGGCAGCGCCTGCCCCCCTGGGCTTCATTCACTCCACCACTGCCTGGTCCCAGGCCTTCCTGAGCAAGCACAGCTCCTCCATTCTGGGTGTGCCTGATGAGCGTGGGCCCCCCCACCCCCCATGGGCCGAAGCAGGCTGGAGGGAATCTTGCATTTGAGTTTTGAGGAAACCATCTCCCTCCTGGGGCGCTAGCCGGCTGCCGAGGCTGTTTGGTTGTGGCTTGGGTCCGCGTGACCACCCAGGTGACAGCACTGAGGCGCATGTGTCCTGGCGGTGGCCTGCTTGTGTCACCTCGGTCTTGTCTGGAGCTTGTAGGCAAGGTGGGCCGGCAAGGCACTCGGTAGTGAGGTTTCCTGGGGCTGCCAGAGGACTGAAGTAAGTCTCTCTGTCCTGGATGGGTTCCGGCCCTGAAGTTTGCGTCTAGAGTCCCAAGGAGGGTGAGGTCCGCCCTTGGTGCAAGGCCCCAGCCCAGTGGAGCGAGGCCTCGCTGGGCTGCACATGGCCGGCCAGGGAGGGGCATCCTGCCCGGTCCCTGGGGGCCAGAGCGGAGGTTCTAGGGGAAGGGGAAGTGCCTGGAACTGATCCTGGCTTTGAGTCCTCCTGGGCTGGGGGGCAGCTTTTGGCAGCCGAGCCTGCATTAGCAAGGCCTGGCCACTAGGGGGAGAGCTGGCGCTCCCCGGCTATGATTTTAAGGGGGCAAGACTGGGCCTTCTTCCCCCAATTCTCCCCTGACCAGGGGCCCGCGCTGCCTTTGGAGTTGGGGTGCTAATCTGCTAATTGAGGTGGTCCTGAGCAAAGGTCGGCTCTTCCTTGGCTGTGTGCCAGGTGTGGGGACTTCTCCCCCAGCCCCCTGCCACCAGAAGGGGAGAGTCCCTTTTGGTCTGGGGAGGAAGAGGGAACCTCCTACCCCTCTGGAAGTGAGAACTTGCAGCTGTGGGGCTTGGGGAGCTCCCTGGCATGGAGGAGGAAGTTGTGGTGGTCAGTCAGGGTGGAGAGGCACAGCCTGGAAAAGTGTGGGCTGGTGCCGTGGGCGGAGGGCTGCCCTGGAAATGGAGGCAGAAACTCCAGGTGATGGTGGGGCTGCCCTGGGGGAGAGTGTGTAGTGATGAGGCTGGAAAAAGCCCCCTCCTGGTGGAAGTGGTGGGCTGGGCCAGGGCCTGGCTGCCAAGAACCAGGGAACAGGCAGACAGGCAGAGGGAGCCAGGATAAGCTGGTGCAGCGCCCTCCGCTGTGAGGGCCTGGGGTGCCCAGGCAGGTGTGGTCAGCTGGTTGAAGCTGGGCGGCGGCCTGCGCCGGCAGTGGAGAGTGGGAACAGGGCCGCACGCATCGGGGGTCTTGTCCTTTGACTGGCCCTTAGGTGCCCTTATCGCCTGTGTCTTGCATGAGTTTGTCTCGCTCTTTTTGATAATTCCACCTTCCACACACACGACCCACTCGTGTGGAAATGCCTCCTTTGAGTGTCCTGTCCAGAGCCGCTGCGTGCACATTCTGGCCTCTTACTGTCGCGGTGCCGTGAACTGCCGTTGGGACGGGACACGGTTTTCTCAGATGGAGGTTCGGCAGCTGCACCCCTGGGCCACATGAGGAGGCACAGGCCCTGGAAGAGAGGCCGCCCCGGGGTTTCTTCCCATTGGCGGAGACAAGTGTCTGCTGTGGGCTGTTCCATTTCCCGGGAGTGGAAATGTTTGCCTGGCACTTGCAGGGCTCTCTAGCCCCAGAAGGGCACATTTCCCTTGGCCTGAGAGCCCAAGTGGGTCTGTGGGGAGCTAGGGTTTCGGCCTCCTGGAAACACAGCCCCTGTGAGCCCCCGGAACCCCGAGCCTGGACTCCGCCGTTTCTCGCCTTGCTGTGCCGAGCAGGCCTGGGACGTGGCCGGTGTGTGGGCCACGCGGCGGGGGGCCTCCTGCTTGTCCTCACATCGTTCCCTGGTGAGGCTCCTGCTCCCGGGCTCTGGGTCTCTCCCCAATCTCAGCCCCTTCTTCTCCCTCCTGCCACCTGTGTCCCCCCCAGGGGCGGGGCCTCTCCGTCTTCCTGACATCTGTCTCTTAGGCATATTTTCCTGTGCATCTCGCTTTCTCTCTTACTATTTTTAAAAAGATTTATTTATTTATGCATCCAAGAACTGGGGTACAGGCCAAAGGTGCAGGAAGTGAGGGGGTTCACCAAAATAGAATGGGGAGCAGAACAGGCAGATGCACTGAGATGCGCAGAACAGGCAGATGCACTGCTGAGGGGAGCAGCAGGGAGACAGGAGAGGCCATGGGGGTCGGCTCCCTGGCCGGGCATCGAACCCGCGCTGCAGTGGCTGCTAACAGCTTCGTAGTGCTGCGCTTTAACCTGTTGCGCCACCAGGGAGGGCCCCGTGCTCCATTCTGTGTGGCTTCCCTTGTGTCTGTGCGCCTGGCTGTGCACTGATTTCCTTGTGTCTTTGTCCGTCTTCCTGGCTAAAGACTCTTGGCCGTGGCCTCAGGGAACCTGGGCTTGCCTTTGAACTCTCTCATACTCGGCAAGTCATCTTACCTCGGGGCCTATTTCTGCATGTATGAAAGACAGATATTAACCACAGAGGCTTGTGTGGAGGTGGGGTGAGACCCCGGGCCGGGGGCTGTCACACAAAATTCTCTTAACTTGGGTTGTTGTTTGTTTGTATTTTAAGGTGGAGCTTCCCCTCCTTTGCCACTTGGAGTGTTTCTGAAAGCAGATCACCTCTCTGGGTGTGTCTCTTTCCTTTGAGGATCCCAAGCCCTGGTCCTGTTAAAAGGCTTGGGGCTCTCGCTCCGCTCCGGTGCAGGGCTCCGTCCTGGGCGCATCACCGAGTTCTGCTGGCTTGGGGCCACGGCTCCACCTGCTTGGTGGGGCAGGACTGCGTGTGGAGGGTGGGTTTGCGGGGAGCCTGCTGCTGTGCTGATGACCGCAGTGTCACTGCGGTCGGCCACCCCCCCCCCCGGGCCTGTGAATGGGGTGCTTCTCTCTCCCTTGCACCTTCTCTGGCCAGCCTGTGCTGGGCGTATGTGTGAACTTGTGCTCGGCCTGTTTTCAGGCTGGGAGCAGGAGGCCTTGAGTGTGCCAGCTCTCGGTCTACCAGTTCCTGTCATCTCGACTGGTGCTGGCTGCAGGGCGCTCCGGCTGCTGGCAAGTCAGCTGGGCCCCTCCTGGTCTGTCCTCAGACTGGCTCTTGGGAGCTCTATTTCCTGGGAGCTGTGGGAGGAAGGATGATGGTCTTCTGAAGCTGAACCTGGCTGCAGCTGTCTGCCCAGGGCAAGGAGTCTGCTTTCCGGGCCTCTCTGCCCCCGACCCTCGTGGGTGGCACTGGCCTAGTCTGCACATACTCTTTGTGGTTTTGAATTGACAGGACCACCTCATTCTGCTCTGATGCTTCTGCCTGGAGCGTGTCTGTCCCTGGCCTCTCAGAGTTGCAGCTGAGTGACCACTGTCTTTTTCCTCTGTCCTGCAGCAGCCCTTGGCCTTAGGGCGTACTCACAGCTGCCCTGCTTCGTCTCCTCCCAAGGGAGACCGGGGCCAGTGTGGGGTGGGCCATGTTCCCCTCACCTCCACCCCAGTCAGTAAAAGGCAGTACTGTCCCCGAGAACTTTCTGTAGCCGTGGATGGCCTTCCTCCTGTCACATATGGCAGCCAGTCGCCAGGCCTGGCTGTTGAGTTCTTGAAATGGCTAGTGCGACCAATGAACTGGCATTGTAATTAAATTCAAGTTAACTTTAAACAGCCTGATGCGGCGACCTGCTGATGGCATGATTTTAAGGTTTCTTCTCACTCCAAAGGCGTATGACCCTCTGCTTAGGGCACAGCATTCCCCCAAGCTCCAAAGAACCCCCTGTAGGCTGCAGCACAGCAGAACCCCCAGGCCCTGCGAAACCTGGCTCCACCGACTTGTGTGGGAGGAGACGGATCATCTGGGCCTGGTACAGGCAGAGGGGAGCCCGAGGGCCGGGACCCGAGTGCAGAAAACAGACCCCGGATACCATGGCCTTGACCCTCCCTTCAGCATCCCTGTGCCCAGCCACCTGAGTGCCCCACATCAGATTAGAGGGGAGAGAGGCCTCCCTGGTTGTGCTGGAGTTGAGGCTGGAGCCAAAGCCGACAGGGAGCTCGGCTGCCTCACCTGCCTGGGAAGCCAGGGTGCCCTGCAGGGACGACCCGCAGCCAAGGGCCCAGGGCTCCTGTGGACCTTCTCATCTCCGCCGGCCTTCTCCGGCCGGCCTTCTCCAGCCGGCACTCGCCCCCACTTTGGGGTGCGGAGTAAGTCCCTTCCAAGCCAGCTGAGTTGTGCTTCGGGGACGCCGGGTCTGGGGCGCCGATAGCTGGCAGGGAAGCCTGCCTCCAGGGACCCCAGCCCCTCTGGCACCCAGGGGTCTGGCCCTTGAAGCACTTTGCCAGTCGGGTTTAGGTGTGACCCTCTGCATGTCTGGAGCTGTTGCAGCCACAGTGACTCATCAGGGAAGGAGGGAGGGTGGGGCCGCCATGTGGGCGAGGATGAGCTGGCTGGCTCTCCCCTTGAGGCTGCTGGCTCAGCACCAGGCGGCAGGGCTGTGCACCGGGGCCCTGATCGAGGAGGAAAAGGGGGTGCTGGGTGACGAGTGGCTGTGGCTCCGGCAGAAGGCGGGCGGCTGGCATCCTTTCCCTGCCCTGCTGGCTCTGAGTCTTCTTGGGCTGGATGCTGGGAGCAGACACGGTGGAAGGTCCTGCCTGCTCTTTCCCGGTGGGAAGGGTCACAGTGACTGAGACTTCCCGTCGTCTCTCTGCCTGTCAGGGAGGGGGTGCTCTCCCAGCACACACCTGGGCTGAGGCTGTCACCTCAGGGGTGCTGCCAGCTTCCTGGACACACCTGTGCTGATGAGGTAGATCATAAACAGCACAGGTGTGAGCTTGTCACTCGGGAGTGCAGGTGTGTAGGGGACAGGGGCCCTTGCAGCTGCTAAGCGCTCATGAATTTCCAAGGGACACACCCCATCCCATAACCCCTTTTGCACTTTCAAGACGCCATTTATATTTCGTTGCCCCTGAAGACTCCCAGGCCTTCGGGAATTTTATGAGGCTAAACTGGTCCTAACCAGGGCAGCAGGCTCTTCATTTACACGAGGGACAGGGACTTTTGAAGCTGCTCATCTGGCGCGTGGAGGGCGTCCGTGAGGCTCGGGGGTGTCGGGGTGAGTCAGTCACCACGGGAGGACGGTGTGACCCGCAGTGTGACTGGCGCTGGCTTCCGTAGTCGCCCGGGCCGGGGGCAGTCCGCGGGCGCCGTGTAGGGATCTGTTGACTAACACCTGCCTGCAGGCAGCGTGGGGCGCCTGGGGGAGGGCCTCGTGATGCAGCGTGCTCCTGGTGAAGACGCGCTGCGCTTTGTGTGAGTGGCTGTCGGCCATGCCCCAGGGGCCTGCTGGGGTCTTCCTGGGCGCCTCCATGGCTGACTGCTCTTCCTGGGACTGGGGGCATCTTTGCTTCTGAGTGCCTGCACCCCTGGGGGCCTGGCGTGGGGCAGCAGATGGGCCCTGACTCACCCGGCTGCCCCCCGGCAGCTCACTGTGGGCCGTTTGCTGGGGGGAGGGGCTCAGTGTCCTTTATTTGGCTGCTGCCTGTGGCAGAGTGGTGAGGACCTTGCAATGAGGGTCCCCGGCCCTGAGGATCGGGTTAGGAGGGTGACCCAGAGTCACTGTCTCAGGGAGAAGGGAGGGCACCCCGCTTTCAGGCTGCCACTTGCCTGCAGAGCTGGCAGCACTCTGGGGGGCATCTGTCCTGCCCCAGGAGGGCCTTCGTGCTGGTCGAAGCTGCGGGCCTGAGCTGGCACAGGAGTTACAGACGCGGGTCCCAACCTAGGCTGCTTGATCGACTGGGCTCTCTGAATCTCGGTCTCCCCAGCTGTGAAATGGGGGGCAGTAATGTCTCCCCCGGGAACAAGCCACGGGAAGGCAGGTGCTGTGCCGCTCCTGCGGGCCTTCGGGTGTGCTCTGCTCTGTGTCCTTCAGCTCTCGTGGAAATCTTTTGTCCTCTCCACTTCCACAGATGAGGAAATGGAGGCTCAGAGAGGCTAAGTGACTTGGCCAGGGTCACAACGCTGATGCCTCAGGCAGACGTTGGATCTGAGTCAGGGGTACCCTCTCCTCCTGTCCACCATGCTTGACGGGATGGAGACAGTGGTGGGGGCCGGGGCTTTGTCCTGGCACGGGGAGCAGAATATCCAGGCCACCGCATGGCAGCTGACTGGGGCTTCCAGCCAGTGGCTGTGCAATTCCAGTGAGATGGTCGTGAACTTCTCCCTAGGCTGTGTGCTGAGACTGACAAGAGAGACCGAGAAGAAAGACGGGGCGGGCTCCTGGCAAGGCATTAGCTCGACCCAAACCTGCAAAAGGTCAGCAGTGGGCAGGGAGGTGAGAGGGCAGAGGTGACGGGAAGAGGGGAGGTGGAGGCCCTGGTGGCCTCAGGAGGCAAAGCCTGGGGGCAGTGCCGAGGGCTGGTTGCCTCCTCCAGGGAGCGAGGCTCCCCTCCCGGGTGGCAGGCGCACCAGCGGAGCCTGGCCTTCTCCTCCCACTTGCCCCCGCTACCCTGGGCTCCATTTTCTTCCCTTTCCAGATGGACAAAGAAGAAGAGAAGACCCGGGAGCTGCTGCTCCCCAACTGGCAGGGCAGCGGTTCTCACGGGCTGACCATCGCCCAGACGGATGACGGTGTCTTCGTGCAGGAGGTGATGCAGAACTCCCCTGCGGCCCGCACGGGGGTGGTCAAGGAGGGTGAGTTGCCTCAGGATGCAGGCGGGGTGCTGGGCAGGGTGGGCGAGGGTGGCCAAGGTGGGCAGGTGGCTGTGGAGGGCCTGGGCCCAGGAGCTCAGGCTTGGTGCTGCCCAGCCCTGCTCTACCCACTCTGTCCCTCACTTGCTTGAGGTCTGCAGGGGAGGTGGTGGGGGAGGGAGGCTGGAGACGTGGTCTGAAGTTCTGGCTCCGGCACTCATGGCTTAACTGCTTGGGCAGGCCAGTTGGATCTGTACAGTGGATCTTACAAGGTGGTCAAAACACGCATCAGCGGGAGCCAGAGTGTCCGCGGCCATGTGCTCCCCCTGTGGCACTGGGGGCTCACTTCTCTTGCCCCTCCTTGCTCAGGGGATCAGATCGTGGGGGCCACCATCTACTTTGACAACCTGCAGTCAGGCGAGGTGACGCAGCTGCTGAACACCATGGGGCACCACACTGTGGGCCTGAAGCTGCACCGCAAGGGGGACCGCTCTCCTGAGCCCGGCCAGGCTTGGACCCATGAGGTCTTCAGCTCCCATAGCTCGGAAGTCGTCCTGGTGAGTGTCCTGCGCCCTACCGGGCAGCACCTCGCTCCCCTGCCTCACCGTGGCTGTTCCCTCTTTCTGAGCCTCCTGTCCATCTCCTGGACTCCTGCTGTCCTCCTTCCTGCTGACCTCACCCCTCTGCCCCTCTGTGGAGCAGGCCCACTTGTTCCCACTCGCCTCTGGCACGTGGCTGACGGCCGCCCCTCAGGGTCTTCATCAGCCTTTGCAGAGGGCCGCTGCGTGGGAGTTGGCTCGTGTTGTCCGGTCCCGGATGCCAGGAGGAAGGTCGGCTGCTTTGCAGGAATTGGGAATGGCTCCCAGGTGCCCAGCTTTGCTCACAGACACCATTTTTCTGCTTCCAGAGGTCTGGTCATTCTGTGAGTCAGAGGCAGGCGGCTTGCCTGGCCGGAGGGCACTGTCGGCTCCTTCCGATGGCTTGTTTATTTAACAGACATGGGTCCTCAGAGTGGAAGTGCCAGCCCAGGCACAGCCAGTTTCAGGAAAGCTCCCCTGGGGACCCCGGGAGGACGCCTCTGGAGCCAGCACACATGCCACTGCCATGAGAGTCAAGAGCTGGAGGGTCAAGTCAGTGCAGAGGTCGGGGGTGGGTCGTCGGCTGCCCAGGAGGCTTCCTGAGGCCTGGCCCGTCAGTTTTGAATCTAGAATTGATTGCAAATCCTTGTCCCAGAACAGGCTGCCCGGGAGTCTGTGCCCTCCTGTCCCCAGAGGAGAGCTTTTTCTATTTATTGGAATTTCCCCAGATAATTTCTGTATCCTCCATGATGTGGCTGTCAGCCCCTTTCTTTTTTCTTAAGATTTATTTTATTTATTTATGCATACAAGAGCTGGGGTACAGGCCAGAGGTGCCGGGAGGGAGGGTGAGAAGATTCACCAGACAGAGGGGCGAGCAGAACAGGTGGATCTACTGAGGGGAGCAGCGGGGAGACAGGAGAGGTCTGCTGCGCCCTGTGGGTCACTCCCTGGCCGGGGATCGAACTCCTGCTGCAGTGACTGGCAGAAGCTTCATAGTGTTGAGACTTAACCCCTTGCTTCACCAGGGAGGCCCTCAGCCCTTTCTTTACACCGCACCCCCTCATGCTCCGCACAGGGGCTAGTGGGCCTCTGTGGTGGCCCCAGCCTCTTTGGGACGCAGCGACCACGTGGTCGGCTGGGCTGTGGCCGGGCGCCTGTAGCTCAGGCCGACTCTGCTGCAACCTTGCGGCGTGTCTTTCTGCAGAGCGGGGATGACAAGGACTATCAGCGCATCTACACCACCAAGATCAAGCCTCGGCTGAGGTCGGAGGATGGAGTGGAAGGGGACCTTGGGGAGACACAGAGCCGCACCATCACGGTGACTAGACGGGTCACAGCCTACACAGTGGACGTGACGGGCCGGGAAGGAACCAAGGATATCGACATCAGCAGCCCCGAGTTCAAGGTCAAGATTCCATGGCAAGAACTGACCGAAACCTCCACGGTGGATGTGGAGACCCAGCCTGGAAAGACGGTGATCAGGCTGCCCTCGGGCTCGGGGCCGACGTCTCCGACCACGGGCTCTGTGGACATCCGAGCGGGCTCCGTTTCTGCGTCTGGACCAGAGCTCCAAGGCGCTGGCCACACCAAGGTCCAGGTCACCGTGCCGGGGGTCAAGGTGGGGAGTCCGGGCGTCAGTGTCAGTGCAAGAGGCACGGACTTGGGTGGCAAAGGAGGGGTACACGCCCCTGGAGTGGACCTTTCTTCTGCTCTCGGGGGTGTTGTGGTAGAGGGGCGGGGGTCTTGTCTTGAGAGTGGCAGTAATGGGAAAATTGAAATCCCTGCTATGCAGGTGCCAAAATTTGGCATCTCAGCAGGACCAGAGAGCCAGGCACCAGAGTCAGGGCTGAGGGTGGCTGCCCCTGAATTCTCTGTGGGGCACAAAGGCAGCAAGCCAGGCTTAAGCATTGGCGGGGACAGGCAGACCCCACAGCTAGAAGTCACCGCTCCCTCCGCCAACATTGAGGGGAAGCTGAAAGGCCCCTCGATCACTGGGCCATCGCTGGAGGGTGAGCTAGGCCTGAAGGGTGCCAAGCCACAGGGGAGCCTGGGGGTCAACCTCTCTGCTCCCAGAATTGAGGGCAACATCACCAGCCCTAGTGTGGAGGTTCAAGGCCCTGATGTTGATATTCAGGGGCCAGGGGGCAACCTGAATATGCCCAAGCTGAAGGTGCCCAAATTCTCTGCATCAGGTTCTAAGGGAACAGGAGCTGGCATGGGTGTGACGCTACCCACCGGTGAAGTGACTGTCCCTGGGGCCTCTGGGGATGTCAGCCTGCCTGAGGTAGCTACTGGGGGGCTAGAAGGGAAGGTGAAGGGTACTAAAGTCAAAGGTCCTGAAATGATCGTTCAGAAACCTAAAATCTCCATGCAGGATGTGGATCTGAGCCTTGGGTCCCCGAAATGGAAAGGGGATTTTAAGGTTTCTGCTCCTGGGGTGCAAGGTGATGTGAAAGGCCCTCAGGTGGCAGTTAAAGGCCCCAAAGTGGACACTGAGACACCCACCCTAGAGGGGACTCTAACAGGTGCCAAGCTTAGTGGTGCTGCTGGGAAAGCAGGAGCTTGCAGCATCTCCATGGCAGATGTAGACTTGAATGTGGCTGCACCTAAGGTGAAGGGCGGCGGCGATGTCACACTCCCAAAAGTAGAAGGGAAAGTCAAAGTCCCTGAAGTTGACATCAAAGGCCCCAATGTGGATATCAGTGTTCCTGATGTGGACGTCCATGGCCCAGACTGGCACTTGAAGATGCCCAAGATGAAAGTGCCCAAATTCAGCGTGCCAGGAGTCAAAGGGGAAGGTCCAGATGTAGATGTCGCTCTACCCAAAGGAGATGTCAGTATCTCAGGACCCAAGGTGAATGTGGAAGCCCCCAGCGTCAGCATAGAGGGACCAAAAGGCAAGTTTAAGGGCCCTGAGGTAAAGTTGCCTGAAGAGAGTGTCAAGACACCGAAGATTTCCCTGCCTGATGTAGATCTGCATGTTAAAGGCACAAAGATGAAGGGAGAGTATGACGTAACGGTGCCGAAACTTGAAGGTGAAATGAAAGGCCCCAAAGTGGACATCAGTGTACCAGATGTGGATGTCCAGGGTCCAGACTGGCATCTGAAGATGCCCAAGATGAAAATGCCCAAGTTCAGTGTGCCTGCAGTCAAAGCAGAGGGCCCAGAAGTGGACGTAAGCCTGCCTAAGGCTGACATGGACATTGCTGGGGCCAAGGTTGATATTAGTGCTCCAGATGTGACCATTGAGGCACCAGAAGGGAAACTGAAAGGGCCCAAGTTTAAGATGCCCGAGATGAATATTAAAGCCCCGAAGATCTCCATGCCTGATGTGGACTTGCATTTGAAAGGCCCCAAAGTGAAAGGAGAATATGATGTCACAGGGCCAAAGGTCGAAGGTGAGGTTAAAGTTCCCGATGTTGAACTGAAAAGTGCCAAAGTGGACATTGATGCCCCAGATGTGGATGTCCATGGCCCAGACTGGCACCTGAAGATGCCCAAGATGAAAATGCCCAAGTTCGGCATGCCAGGCTTCAAGGCAGAGGGCCCAGAGGTGGACGTGAACCTGCCCAAGGCTGACATTGACATCTCAGGCCCCAAGGTGGATGTTGAAGTTCCAGATGTGAATATTGAATCAGGAAAGTTGAAGAGTCCTAAATTTAAGGTGCCTGAGGTAAATATCAAGGCCCCCAAGATCTCTATGCCTGATGTGGACTTGCATATGAAAGGTCCCCCTGTAAAGGGAGAATATGACGTCACAGTGCCAAAGTTGGAAGGGGACTTGAAAGGGCCAAAAGTAGACATAAGTGCTCCAGATGTTGAAGTTCATGGCCCCGACTGGAACCTGAAGATGCCAAAGATGAAAATGCCCAAATTTACCATGCCCAGTCTTAAAGGAGAGGGCTCAGAATTAGATGTGAACCTGCCAAAGGCCGATGTGGACATTTCTGCACCCAAGGTAGATATCAGTGCTCCAGATGTGAGCCTTGAAGGACCAGAAGGGAAGCTGAAAGGCCCCAAGTTTAAGATGCCTGAGATGCATTTTAAAGCTCCTAAGATGTCTCTACCAGATGTTGACTTGGATCTCAAAGGACCCAAAGTGAAAGGAAATTTAGATGTGTCTGCACCAAAAATTGAAGGTGAGATGAAAGTTCCAGATGTGGACATCAAAGGGCCCAAAGTGGACATCAACGCCCCAGATGTGGACATCCATGGCCCAGACTGGAGCCTGAAGATGCCCAAGATGAAGATGCCCAAGTTCAGCATGCCTAGCTTCAAAGCAGAGGGCCCAGAGGTGGATGTGAACCTCCCCAAGGCTGACCTTGACATCTCTGGACCAAAAGTTG